GGCTACACAGTAAAAAAAAAAAATTCCTGGTGCAAAGTTGGGCAAATACTTTTGGTACAAAACTTTTAGCTTGCCCTGCCAACACTTTGACTGGTATACTAGTTTAAAAGTTTGGGGTTGATAAGAAAATAAGGCCCTGTCCACACGGACACGGGTATTTTTATAACCGTGACTTTTTTTACGCGGTTCGGCCGTTCCTCCACACGAAAACGCACTGAAACCGAACATTTTTGAAAACCCCTGCCAGGGTGAGGATTTTCAGAAACGCCGGTTACAGTGTTGTCGTGTAGACAGTGAAACCGGGGTTTTTGCCTTGCGACGTCAGAGTGTGCGCCGTTATCAGCTGTGTTTGACATCAGATTTGCGCTTCTGATTGGCCAACGTAGCTTTAGGGTTAAGGTTTATATCGCCGCCTGCTGGCGTGGCATGCTCTTGACCCCGCTTGATTGCGTGTTTTTGCGTTTTCATGTAGACGGAGACCGAGCATGTGTGGACGGGTTTTTTTTTTAAAACGCTGTAGGAAAAACTCCGGTTATAAAAATACCCGTGTCCGTGTGGACATGGCCTAAGTCTCTTATGCTCACCAAGGCTACATTTATTCAATCAAAAACACAGTAAAAACAATAATATTGTGAAATATTATTACATTTTAAAATAACTTTTTATTTTCCATTTTAATATTTTTCTATTTTAATACATTTTTAAAAATGAAATTTATTCCTGTGATGGCAAAGCTGAATTTTCAGCATCATTACTCCAGTCTTAAGGGTCACATGATTCTTCAGAAATCATTCTAATGTTGATTTGTTGCTCAAGAAACATTTCTTATTATTAATATCAATGTTGAAAACAGTTGTGCTGCTAAATATTTTTGTGGAAATCATAATAAAAAAAATGTCAGGATTAAACAGTTTAAAAAAACAGCATTTATTTGAATCGGAAATGTTTTGTAACAATGTAAATGTCTTAACTGTAACTTTTGACCAATTGAATGCATCCTTGCTGAATAAAAGTATTAATTTCTTCTTTTTTTAAACTACTTTTGAACAGCAGTATGTCATGTTTAGTTATGCAAAACATTAGGCATATTTATAATATTTAACCCACTCTAACTAATTCTTCCACAACCATCACAAGTCATCCTCGCAATTTGAACAAAACCTCATGTTAGCCAGTTAGAAAACTGTACATTGGTGAGCAAAATTTGCAACAACAAATGTACAATATCACAGACCAATGTAAAAAAAAAAAAAAAAAACTAATGTAACAGACGTATAGTGTCAATGCAACAATGGTCCAACAAGGGTTCAAAAATGGCTCCTTAATATGTTCTTTGATATTGTAATGGTGATTAACTTATGAATATCATTTATATTAAAATACTTTTGTGTACGGCAACTGCAAGTCATATTCATAATGCATGCTACACAATCAAAACAAGCCAAGAACTGTGATCCTAAATCAGTTTATTGCCATTTTACACTGCCTAACTTCACACTGGCCCATTTAGCAGCATACAATACAAAACCATTATTCTAAATTTTAATAAATAATGCATAAGCAAGCAATACAACAATACTTGAAGCTAATGCTGCAGGTTTACACATCTCCAGTTACAGAAGTGAAACACACAGGACCTGTTAATAGTGACAAAGACTCAATACTTGTCATGATTGGTTAATTGCGGTAACAATAATCGTTATCTTGATTAAGTTTTCAATTAATTGTGCTCCCCAAGGTAAATTTAATTCACATTTAATTACAGTTATCAGCATGTGTCATAATGATGCTTGTGTTGAAGAAACACATTCCTGGCAAGTTTAGTGCAATATTTACTGTGATTAAGGAGCAAAATAAATGATTATAGGAAATAGACAAACATTGAAGTAAACATTTTCAAGTGTGACCTCTTTGACCACACCAACTTCTTTTAAACCAGCAACATTCTGGCACAGCATTCATTTTTAATAACCCACCAACAGCAACATTTAGACTGTCCAATTGAGCAGCAGTAAACAAAGTTCCTATACAGCCTTCAAAGCCCATTATAATTGCATGTCTTATCTTTGTCAGCTCAGTCCATCTTTTTTCCTAAATCAACTCCGGTTTAACTGGATGTGATGTCTAACCCTCATTAGGTGATTGTAGTCGTATAAAGAGCGATCATGTGTCATTATTAGACCAGCTTAGAGAAGCACAGTGACAGATCATGCTGAGCATAAAGCCACACACATAAACAGACCTCCAGCCAAGCCTTAGCTTGTTTTGAAAGACTTGTTGCACATCTGACATCTTCGCAGTATTGCTTTTTTTTGTCTCGAACCAAATACCAATTTCAAAACTTGTATTTAAAGTTAAAGGATAATTCCGGTATTCAACACTTTGAGTTTATTTTGTAGTTTGTTTTGGATGAACTAGAGTGGTGGACTTAGAAATTTTGACGATGGGTCCTGTCTCGACTTTTTGACTATTTTAGAATTGCCTCTGACCGCTTCAGAGTGGCTGTCTATGGGCATGCTCAAACATGTCCTTAAAACAACCCTTAACGTTCGTTTTCAAAACTGTGCAACTCACCGAGTGGTTAGTGGTGTTTGTTGATGATTAGAAACAAATATATCGGCGCAATGTATGCTTTCAATCCGTGTTATTTGCTATAGTGGAACTATTTTTTCAGATACCCCACAACCGCATATAAACTTCCGCTCGATATTTGAGTCTGAAGCGTTAGCACACTCCCGACCACTTGATGGCGACAACCACTTTGCCGCAGTTGCTCAGCTCACACGCTAGCCTTCTGAGAGACGGAGAACCGAGCGAAAAGACTACAACCAAATGTAAACAGACCCCTTTCCGTTTCCGGTAGCGCAGTAATATCAACGAGCACTGAGACCTCCAGCAGACATCAATGCGATTTTAAAAAATGGCAAATAAAACACGACAGAAATAGTGCTGCCGCGATTAGTCGACTTAGTCGACGTAATCGACCATGCAAATTAGTCGACGGCAATTTTTTTAGTCGACGTGTCATTTTACTATTGACCGCTATTTATTTTTGGTCTCCCGTCACAAACGGCTCACTGTAATTCACCTCCACACACCAGTCTGTGCGCCGTGCGCGCCCTGCTGGTTTATCTGCTATCATTTTCCTTCACGTTCCCACCCGCCTTCACTGCTTTGATATGAAAAATTGCGGAGGCAGGTGACGGAGCTTTCACAGTGGGCTCGTTTGCTGCGGTCCGAGTCCGAGCGCGAGCGCGATTGTTCCCGGCGCCCCCCGCAGCGTTGGTCTGGTTTCACACTCAATTCTATCGAACCCTGTTGAGTTTGCCTGCATCTTATGCCATCGCAAACGTGCACGGCGCATGATAGAAAACAGAACGCGGGTCAATATATTGTGTTTTTCAAACGGACTCTTTTGAGGAGACAGTGGATTTCCAAATGTGTTGCCCTGATTGCACGCGCAATGCGCACACTGCAGACTCAACTCTCGCGTATCCAAGGTAAATCATCAACACTATCATCCCTTACATGTGTTTTATTTAACTAAATGCATCATAATCAGCTAAAACGCATGGGCAGGTTACTTAACTTCCTGAACAAGCGCTCCCGAGTCCGTGTTGCTTTCACATTCACGCGAACCGCGGCACGGGCCCGCCATGCACGCAAGTGTAAACGCGAGCTACATAACTGCGTGCCTGCCTGCTTTCAGCGCGACTCATAGTGGGCTAGTCCAGACTCTTTCAATTCAATTCCAATTTATTTGTATAGCGCTTTTCACAGAAAATGCATTGCATCTACTTTACTATTCAGAGTGATGTTATCAGTTATGCTTTTCAGAAATGTACATAAATTAATCATTATTAGCTTACTGCACATTTTTTAAGGCAGAACAAAGAGCTAATTTAAGTAATACATACATGTTTGTTATTAGAGGATTAGATTAGGACTCTGACTAATATGGTATAGCCTAATGGAAATGCAGATACTTAATGCTTAGATTGTTAATACATAATGTTTTTGAACAGGTGACATTTTATGTTTTGGCCCTTCAGTTGAGTTCAAAATAAAATGGACACAACGAAATAAACACTTTTTTTTTTAATTAGTCGTTTAGATTAGTCGACTAATCGAAAAATTAGTCGAAAGATTAGTCGTTAGAAAATTAGTCGTTAGTGGCAGCACTAGACAGAAACTGTATTTCGCTACGCTACTTGTTTTGGAACATCAACGAACACCACTAACCCCTCGGTGAGTTGCACAGTTTTGAAAACGAACGTTAAGGGTTGTTTTAAGGACATGTTTGAGCATGCCCATAGACATCCACTCTGAAGCACTCAGAGGCGATTCTAAAATAGTCAAAAAGTCGAGACAGGACCCATCGTCAAAATTTCTAAGTCCACCATTCTAGTTCATCCAAAACAAACTACAAAATAGACTCAAAGTGTTAAATACCGGAATTATCCTTTAAGGTTTCAGACAAACTGACCCTGACCCTGACCCTAGATGAGGGCAGAAGGACAGCTTTCCTTCGGTGCATTATTTCTCAACTTCAATAGCCCAATGATGAAAACTCGGAGTAAAAACCGACGGCCCTGTTCTCGCCTAGCTGTTGAAAATCCATGTGGGGGAGGGGTGGATACCGCAGTGAAGCAAGCACGCCTTCATCCGAACCGCAGCTCTCGATATCCGATCTGCATTACAATGAGGTTATGGTTCTTCAGCGAACACAATCATCAAACATCTCTCTCTTGGTATTGTTCTGCTTGCTTTCACACATTCTTCCAGTAAACACACCAGTCCAAACATGGCAAGAAAAGTTAAGTGGTATCAGGTCGTGGTGGAGTAAATCATCACCTCAAGGAGAACGAAAAGGTCAGGATCACCGATGGAAGAGGGTGTAGACATGATGATGCTCGGGAAAACACAGAGCCTTTCTTACACAGCAGCCCAGCTAAAAGCTCCAGGCCCTCCAAAAACATTTAATTTAGCAAGAATTTTACCTTTTCCCTGATTCAACTCCTGAATCTTCTTTACTGCTGCCAGACCCTCCTCTTCATCGTTCCCAGCTGAAGAAAAGAAAGAAAAGACAGGAAAGGAAGGTGTTAAATATACAAATTATATACAAATTAAGTTATCATTGCATCAATGGCACATGAAGAATTTAAATCAGCAAAAAATTAGTAAAATAAAAACGAATATCAAGATCACGTTATATAATGAACAGATTGAATTTAGGCTTTAATTCACATATAAACATTGATCAGTGAACAAACAGAAGCTCAACCAAACCTGCTTGGTGCGCGAAAACAAACCTCATTGATTCTTGCAGAAGCTCAAACGTGCTGCGTAACACGAGAATGAACCTCATTGGTTCTCGCATGTCAAGTTTATCATAACTGATGTGTGAATTGATAAATGTTCATATGTGAATAAAAGCCTAAATTCAGTCTGTTCATCATATAAAGCGATCATGTCTCTTCAGAAAATGTGGACTAAACCGCTCAATTCATATGGATTATTTTTACGATCTCTTTATAAACTTTTTGAAGCATCAACGTGTCATTTGTGTGGCGGTCAATTTAAAGGGGCATTATGCAGAAATCCCGTTTTTGTCAAACAGCGACCCCTAGAGTTACTGTGGAGTACTTGAATTTAACGTTACTGTCGTAAATACCACTCACTCAGAGCGTGACATGCCTGTTACATAGTATACAATAGTACATTGTGTTTAATTTGTCGTTTAATGAGATATAATATATGTTGTTAGTGGTGAGAATTTTCACGTGATTAAATACATAGATCCGACAATTTTAATGGTCCAGAGGCAGAACTTTTGCCAAGTGTGTTAGAGGTTCTGGGTTCTAATCGGTACTAGCTAGTAGTATAGTTTATTTTCCTCATCAAAACCGATTGTTTATTAGTGGTTGTATTTCAAGCAGGGACATGTTTTTTGTGCATTAGGTTTTGTGATTTCACCATAACAAAATATAGAGAGTCTCTCAGTCCCCGCAACGGATTCAGGCGCGCGTCACAACAGAACACTTATCTGCACCACTGATCGCAGAGGCAACGAGCACTTTGGTCACTTGATTTCAAAAATAACACATTTCAGATCGCCTCTTATTTAACAAACGAACGAAATGAATGCTCTACTAGAGTTACCTGGAGATGTTTTATTTGTTTGTAATGGTAACGTTACATCCGTGCCACGAGAAGTTTCAATAGGGACATCCGCAAATTATGCATATGCTCGTGTCCGACTCCTCGCTCGGTCAGTCTGCCGTTTCCTCTTTCTCTGTTCCTCCGACAATGCTTTCCTAGCTTTCTGCATCTTATATGCCGGCTCAGCCATGACGATAGTGTGACAAACTCCATCCATCTATACCTTGTTCCTGTGTGTATGTGTGCAGTTGCCGTAAAGGAATATGTTACATCGCGAGAGCTGATATCACGCGATACTTCCTGACGCGGCCCGCCGCACCGAAGTTGCAAGTGAGATTTTTTCGCTCACAGGCACCAGGGGGGGTCGAGACGCCCACCATTCAACCCGAAAGAAGTTATATAACCATTTCAATAACTCTGAAGCTGTTCAGTTAAGCTAAAAAAGCTGCATAGTGTCCCTTTAAGAAATAAAAAAGATAAAAAATTATCAAAAAATTGTGTTTTTTGTGAAGAGAATGTTTTTCTCTATTCTATAAAAAGTGTTTTAATTAATATGTATGGTGCAGGTCATCCCTCTCAAAATGTATTTTGTCACGTTGAAATGAAGTGATCTACAAATGTCGGAAAGAATCCTCATGCTCATTGGCTCCACTCTACGTTGATACACTAGTAGCATAGTGTTGTTTCATGATGTGAAAAGCATTAGACACTAACATTAAACAATAGAATTTAATTATTATAGTGTTTTACCAGCAGAAACAATTGGAGGATCAGTGCCTGTATGGCCAAAGAAGCAGAAAAAGTCTGAAGCCAGAAGACAGAAAGACCAACAAAGACAAAAAAAAAAAAACAAGCGTAAACATTGGTACAGTAGCGCATACACAAAGTGAAAAGATTTAATGACAGAGAAAATCCTGAGAAGTTATTCTTTTTGTTGGACATGTAAGGGAATTAATTGTGTAGAACAATATGGGCAATATGGACTTAAAACTATATCATGATATTTTCTGGAATTTATTGCAATAACGATATAAATATAGTATCGTTCACCACTGTTTTTGGCTACAAATGATAGCTGCATGCATTCTTGAGAGCCTCAGAAACACAAACATTGATCTAAAGTAAAACGTACCCATCATCAAATAGGCTCCTAATATACCAATTACATAAAACAGTAAAAATCCCGACACCAGCGCTTGCAGAAATGGAAAAGTTGCAGATAAACGTTTCTTCTGTAAAAGTGCAGATAATGTTTAAATAGTGCAACTTTACTGAAAAACATCATACAATAATAAATACACACAATAATAATTCAAATCAATTACAAGTTTGAAATGTAAAAAACGTACAATAACACTACTACAAATTCTACTACTAATAACAATATAAACCGCACTAGGCTTGATGAGCTGCTGGGTTCATGAATATTTAAGGTAAATAATTTCAAATGAACTCCATTATTTTTTTACACGAAAATACAACAAATAATAACGTTTACATGTAGCATGTCCATTCTGCGTGGTATGCAAGAGTCTCTCGCTCTCTCTTTTTAGTGTGTGAGTAACACTGAGCGCTCTCAGCAAAGCTATGGTGAGTCGGGCCCCACACTAGTGTTTGTTTACTCTGTGCATTCATTGGGATGAACTGAAATGGTGCGCATTACGGACCGCTTGACGGAGAGCGAAACTCTCAAGCGCTCAGTCAGTGTTCGGCGAGTGAAAACATATCGTTTAGCGATAAACTCCACCTCAGCTTCAAGTCCGCCTTCCGCCAGTTGTTTTCGCTCTGCACGTGAGCTGCGAATGGGTCCCAAACAGAAATACGTCATAAACTAGGCTTTATCGTTATTATCGCAGGAAGACTAATTCTTATCGTGAGGAGAATTTTTTCATGTATCTTGCAAACTATTAATATATCGCCCATCCCTAGTAGAGCGCTCTCTAAAACTCACTAGTATCAGTATCTAATTTACATAAAAGTCAGATGATCGTGCTGATCCACGTCGATGGCAGTGTAGTGTCTAACAGCATTGTGGGACTAAAGTACAAAAGTACATAAAGAACAGCGATGCTAACACTACTGAAAGGTGCATTCAGTAGTTCTTCAGGTAGTTCAAATTGTTAAAAAAAAGTTATTTCAAGAAAAAAATAATCAATTTGCACAGAAATTCATATATAACATTCAGCTATCAACCATCTGAAAAATAATGTGCAAAAATGTAACTTAACTACCCATCAAGGTAGCATATTAGCACTTAAAGGGTCCATGTTAAGAGACTAATATGCACCTTTTAGGAGTAGATGATGTCCAAAAATATATATTTTCAGGTTATTGACCCAGTGACACTCAATTGTAACCATCATTACACATGTTTTTCTGACAGTTTACCTAAGAGGAACCTCAGGCTCACCTCAGCCTCATGCTACAACTATGGGGCTCAGTGCAATTACGTAACAGTTTTACCATGAGCGTTTACCAATATTACCAAACAGCCGGTGCATATAGTCAAGTCCTGTTCCTGCATCTGCAGTACACTGTCCTGCATTTGAATGAACATGTGAGGAGAGTTACTCTCGCTTAAGCCCTTCTTATTGCCTTTTATGTGTCACTAAACTCCAGGAAAAAGCTCTTATTGATAATGCAGACTGACAAGGAGGAAAAAGAAGAGGAAATGCTTGAAACTAGGGCTGCACGATTTGGGGAAAATGTCATATTGCGATTAATGAGGTCAATATTGCGATTGCGATATAATAAACAAATGGTTTCATGAGTCAACTTGCTTGGTTCTAAAGTAAAATGCACATACAGATTAGTGATCATTCTGTGTATTAATGTGTATTTCTCAACTCAAACTAGCAACAACAACTAAATGATTGATAACACCTATAATGATCAATAAACCATTGATGTCCGGATAAAAATGACGACACCCCCCACATTTTAAACGTTAATTATAGCCATCCAACATTACAGTGATTCCATCAATACAATTGAAAGCTATCAACTTTTAAAATATTTATTAGGCTTAAAAAATAATAATAACAGCTTTTAAATTAAGTGAACTTCAAACAATCCTCACATAAACCCATAATAAATGCCATATTTACCTGTGCCCTTCCTGTCTTAACAGGTAGGATGGAGGATTTATATACAGATTTATATACAGAAATTGAATAAAGTTATCAAACAGTCTGCGCTGCATGAATTATAAATTATATATAGACTAATCCTTATTAAAGCTACAAAACTTCTTTAGTCAAGAGCAGTGAGTAATTTTCTGTTCCCTTTGTTATTTGATTAACTTTACCGACTGAAAGCTTTATTCGCTGCCGGTGTTCTGACGATTCATGCTACCCATCGAGATTTGCTACTTAATGATTATGCGCATGTGCAGAAGCACAGTTTTTTTTAACAAAAGGTACATTTTCATGTGTTATATTGTAATTTCCCTTTAAAAATGCTAACTAGCATATGAATATGTGTACGGTCAGCCAGATGAACAATAATAACTGAAATTTTCAGTTACTAAGGAAAAGTGTGCTTTGACAAGTCAAAGATGAATATTTGATGATAATTTTTAATTTTCACACCGTTTTAAAAATAAAAACAGTAGTCTACAGTATACAGTAGCTACTCATAACTTAGAATTGTATTATAATTGTATTTCATATAATATTAATCGACATTCTGTGATCGATTCGCGTTACGGTAGCATTTTTCGACAAGGCAGCACAAATCGTCAGAACACCGGCCCTTTAAGAGCAGCCGTTGCTGAGATGCGGATCTCACACGCGCCTCATTCTCCCACAAGCACAACTCTTTCGTCCATCATAAGACTGCTCTTATGTTATGAAGATAATCGACAAAACGACATTTTGGCATAATTGTGTGTGTTATTGTTCGTTCAAGCTCGAAAGAGAACTGTATTCTGGCACGCGGTGGCGCGCGTTTTTCTGTGAGTCACATTCAGGACATTCACAGGCAGCGCACGCTCTTTTGACTTCTTGTCGTGCACAATTGTTTTAAGGCAGTGGTCTCAAACTCGCGGCCCAAATTTTGTGGCCCCCTACTTGACATTAAAGTTTAATGTTAGTGCGGCCCGTCGTTGCGTGTGCCGCGTTTTAAAAAAATAAAATAAAATTATCCCTTATGGGCTACCATAGATAGTCTCGTGACAGCTTACGGTGGGTTTGTTGTCAATAGTTGTCATAGACAACCGCGAAGTACAAACATACTGCGTCTGGAAAAAATGAGCGCGTCGCTTCAATTATGAGCGCGCTTGCCGCACGCCTACATTTGAAATAACGAACTTAAGCGCGCAAAATATGTGAGCGCGATATGTGAACGGCCCCTTGTCGAGCTACCACCAATCAGGCCACGAGCTACTGGTAGCTCGCGAGCGACGTGTTGGAGACCCCTGCTCTAAAACAATATAAGAATAATCACTTTGAGCTTGTAATATGTGTCCAACAGGTTGATAAGAAGGTTTGCTTTGATTTGTGCAGTCAGTAATTTGAGACACTATACATGTGTAAAAAATAATTCAATAAGACGGGCAGACATGACTGCAATTAAGTATTTCAAAAGCAATAATTGTTTTTTCTAAGTATAATAAAAGGAAATGTGCCTTCCAAAAAAAACATTCAATATCATTAATGTGTTGTATAAAGAAAATAAAAAGGACATAAGCAAATATAAATATCACAAATATGTGTTATAGACAAAGAAAGTTTGTAAAATGAACTTCAACTGTCAGAAGGACAGCTCATGAAGAGCCAATCATGTACAGAAAGGAATGTTCAAATTCAGAGGAACAGTTCAGAAGAAACGTTAATATTAAATATTGAGAAGATTGGATCAGTTGTACTCCTTTTTTGGAATACTTGATGCGGCCCAGCCTGACCCCGACTCTACCTCCAGCGGCCCCCAGTTAAGTTGAGTTTGAGATCCCTGTTTTAAGGCATTTGCACGAATAAGAGCGGGATCATGTAACACTAGTCAAAGGATGACAAAAAAGAAGAGATGCTGTGTTCATATAAAATCGCGGCATTTTGCGTTATATAATCGCATAGGTTTGACATCGCGATTATGATTGCGATTCGATTAATCGTGCAGCACTACTTGAAACATGAAGATAAGGAAGAAGAAGGTGGGTTTGAGCTCCTTCAACACCAGTCATGCTAATAACACTGTACATGGTATGGAAAATATTTAAAAGTATCACAAGTAGCAGGAAACCAATTAACAGATTACATAACCACAGGAATGGATCTGTAAGCTGGAGTCAAGACACCAGTGGAATAGTGTTAGTTTACTGATCTGAAATCAGGTATGAGATGATACTATACCAATGATCACATGCATGTCCAGGCTGACCAGATGTCTGGAAATCTCATATCCCATTCCTCTGGTTCCCCCTGTAACTATGGCAACCTTTCCATTCTGCTTGGGCAAATCTGCACAAGACAGAAAGCAAGAAAATTATGGAAAAAATTTGAATGCATAATGTTACAAAAACTAGTTGTTTTACACTGACACTGTCTTTGTTTTGGACATATTCTTTCATCTCTCTGTGGGTGTTTTTTGGATGTGTAGTGGCCTCAGGGAGCATTAAATGTAGAAACTGCATGATCTGTTTTGTGATAAGCCTAGCCTACTAGTGATACCATTCCTTCACTCTTTTGCTTAATGGGTATTATTTATTAATACTAATTAATAATATTGATAAACAAGTTAACTTGTCCAATATTGGTGTTTTACTGGCCAATAAGTCAGTGAAGCAGTGAGATTATGAGAATCATCACTGATAAGCAGTAACTTTTTGTTACCATTTCCATGTTAAAAAATGTTTCCAGTTAAAATCAAATAATATTAAGTTAATTATGCATTAACTGTAAGGGTTATATTTTATAGCCATCACACAAAATAATTTTTAAAAAAGTAGTCTTAAAAATCAGTGTTCCTTAATCATCTTTCTTTCTTTCTTTTTTTCTAGTAGCTAATCCCGTGGGCTTCAAAAGCTTTAAATATTTCTGAATCAAAAGACCATTGTGAGGAAGGATTTGGGTCTAATCCTTGTGCTTTGCACTGGGACATGGTTGCCCTTTAACGGTGATTTAAATTGAAGTAGCCTATAGGGCTGTCTACAATTGCAACCGAGCAATAAAGTAGAAACTTGAGATTAATAAATAATAATTATAATTATATGATTATAAATAATAATAATAATAATAAGTATAGTGTCAGTAATATATATATATATATATATACACACACACATTCATACAGCAGATCTAGAAGAAAATAGTGTCATTGATTCATTTTGGTTGTAAAAACTCTTAGTTATTGAATAAGTTATTAATTTAATTAATTAAAATATCTATCTATCTATCTCTCTCTGTGTGTGTGTGTGTGTGTGTGTGTGTGTGTGTGTGTGTTTTAAAGTAGGTGAAAGGTTACAGCAGTTTATGAAGACACAGGTTAAGCAATCAGTCTCAGCAAACGCGAGTTAGCAGCCATATAATATACAACTGTCATACGAAATGTATCAGTAGCCTAATGTAAAGAAAAAGTTGAAGTAGTTCGCTCAACAAAAAAAACTATAATATTTTTTACTCACTATACTTATTCACTTTCTTCAGTTTTTAGACAGAATAACAGTCTCAGTCCATCCCCATTCATTACAACTGTTGTTCCATACAAGTTACAACTAACGCGAATGACTGATCCTGTCAGTCTGCCGCACAACTCATTTAAGTTAGTCTTTTGTGTTTATCGGTTTTGAACATGAATGCGATGCAGAACGTTTGTTTTTGGGTGAACTGTCCGTTAAGCGCAGCTCCCACAAGACTGCGTGTATCTATTGAATACGTGTTTGACAGTTGCTACACACATAAACTAACTAACGTTACCCACAACTGCAAATCCGTAACGATAAAAACCTCTAACCTGGCAGCTTGAACGATTTGTTGAAAAGCTGGTATAGGAGAACTTTGACGCCGTCTAAGTAGAGTCTGATGAAGCCGAAGATACAAGGCAAAACCCACCACATGATTGAAGATGACAGGGAGTGTCTCAGTATTTACGCTCCGTGCTGAAGTACAGCAGGAACGGATCATCTGTTCTTACGATAGTTCCGCTGTCTACGACAAGCACTAGCACTGTAGACACCCAATAGAGTCTGGACTCTGATTTACTACAGGGATTAACCACTGCCAGGAAAGAAAAAAGAAAAAGAAAAATAAATGCAGCTGGTCAATATGGAAGCAGAATAGTCTCAATTATAATTCACGCAAGAAACATGATTCACACGTGCGTAGACAATTTCACATGCGTAAAACCTAATTCACATACACAAAAAAATTCACGTGCGTGAAAAAAAAATATATTCACAAAAAGCAATTCACATGCGCAAAATAAAATTACATATTCATAAAAACATTTCACAAATGCAAAACACAATTCGTAGATATACAACTGTGCACAAAAACCTTTGAATGTTTAAAATGTAGGAGAGTGTCCTTGAATTTGAATGTGCAAATCGTCATTCACGTACGAATCGCCTTGGATGTGTGTGTGTGTGTGTGTATTTTTGAGACTTTCCTGGCAGCGCTTACGCCGCCTTCACACTGGCAGTTGAAATCAGCTCCGTAATACGCAATACGCCCCCAACGGACGTCGTACTACACAGTGAAAAGCGTCGGAAGCGGGTAGAACAAAAATGGCGGAGAGATTAGAAAGTTTGATTCTGTCAGTTCTGTATGATCTCTCTGATGAGGGTTATAGAGATATTAATAGGAAGGCTGCTGCGTGAGGAAAGTTGCTCAGGACGTTGACATGTCAGGTCGGCTAAAAAAATGTGATATGGTGGTGTAATTTATACCACTATATCATATTTAGTTCGATGTCTGCCTACAATTTAATTGTATTAACTGCCCTAATAACGTTAGCAAATCATGAAAATAAAAAATTACATGACAACTTAACTTTTAATAAAATAAATAATGATTTTATAACGATAAGAATTCAGGTTTGTTTATCAGTATCATAGCAACGCTAACTTCCGCTGGAATTGTCGGATAGGAACCGTCCGTAGCTTTTCGCAAGAGTTCAATTTTTTGAACGCATCCGGATGACCAACGGACACAATTTTCTTCCCACCGCACTCGGTCGGACCCGTTTCGGACCCATTCGCATGCGGTCTGCGAATCTCCATAGGAAATGAATGACTTCCGGTCGTTTCGGAGCCGTATCGGAGATGATTTCAACTGCCAGTGTGAAGGCGGCGTTAAGCCGCCTTTCCACTGCACACGACAAACGACAGCCGTTGGACCGGAAGTCATTCATTTTCAATGGAGAGTCGCACGGGAGCTGCGGGGAGTTCCGATCATATGCGTATGCGGAAAATTCGTATCCGATTTGAGCTTTGGATCCGTTGAAATATCTGAACTTCTGCGGCTAGACCGTATGCGACCGGCCGACCGGATGTGATGTATTCTATGAGCGTGAGGCTAGAATTACCAATATTTCAACTCTTTAATGTTATTCTGTAAACGCTATTTCTGTAAAATGTCGGTTATTAATAATTATGGCAGAAGAAAATATTTTATAATTATTAAATCAATATTTATATTGATTAGCTCTGTAAAATCTATTGTTTTTATTGTAGATGTATTGAGGGTCAATTTTTTTGTGTGGATGTATTCATGCATGCAGTGCATTCATTACATTCATCATTAATTTTACCATTGTGAATCATAGACTGTAAAAAATAGTTGTGAATAGCCGAGGGTAACGGTTGCTTAACGACCAATTTCAAAGTTCCGTGCGACTGACACTAGGGGGCGAAATGCGACAATCGAATGCGAATGTCGTGTGCAGTGGAAAGGCGGCTTTACTCGTAACACAGAGCAGTCGTACTCTTTAGCCAATCAGATTTAAGCTTAGCAATCGACCAATCAGTATCACGTGAGGGCGGGCCTATCTGCATGTCACGTCATCAACTTTCGACTAGTTCATGGCTGAGGAGTGATAAGTGCAGTTACTCGTTCATTTCTGTGTTAACTGAAGTTAAAGAAGCTTGAGATCAGTTGATGCAATAGTTTATTAACTGCTGTTTAGTCCACATGTGAACATGAAAATCCATCAATACTAAAAATAAATGTTTATGTCCTGCAAGCCATTCAAGCCATTCAGTGGATGTTCCCCCCTCCCACAACTATTTACAGAAACTATTACACCGGGAAGACAGAGTTGACATGTCAAGGCTGCGACCGCAGAGACTTCAACATTGTTTGTATAAAATATAAAAAAAATATAAAACTTTCAGGACTATGTGTCCTACTGTAAGATCCGAGCAGGAAATCAGACATTATACGCAAAGTGAGGACAACTTTGATAGGCATTTTTTATTAAAAATATAATTCAAGATTTACTTGGTTGTATTGTTTGATATATTACAGATCTCTGCCTTTCAATTTAAATGTACATTTTTTATATTGTTGCATTTTTAAACACTTTGTTTGGCAGTTTTACATTGTGACCTCATGCTGAGGTCAGGTTAAATTACATGTATTTTACAAGTATAGAGCATGTGTAACCCCTCAACCAGGTCCTACTCGCCCCGCTCTGTGAGGGCCTCGAACCTGGGTCTCCAGCGTGGGAGCCAGACACTCTAACAAGGAGACTAAAAACTGCAGCCTCTGGCATCAGTCGCTAGAGCGCCTCTTGAGATCAGGAGTGAGGCTTTTACTTGCACAGCTCTCACTAGTTTGACTCTGTTACACATGCATTTAAAATAATACTAACAAAATTATTTTAAAATAAAAGCAATGAATGTCCTGAGCATCCATATTTCCTTTGGATGTAACTTTTTAAAGGTGCTCTAAGCGATGTCACTCGTTTTTTAGGCCAAAACATTTTTTGTCACATAACATCTCCTCACTAACCGCTGGCTGCCTGTCCCCTGAACACACTGTAAAAAAACGCGGTCTCTGTAGACAGCCCAGGCTCCACAAACAGCAACAAAAACAAACTGGGGCAACCCGCTCCACGAAACAAAACAAACTGTTCCAGCCAATAACCGACAAGAATGATTTGGGGGTGGGGTTAGTGCGCGTACACATGAAGGGGGGTGTGGAGGAGAGAGAAGCATGAAGAGGGAAGTTAGAATTATAACTCTTTAAGTTTGATATAGCCGACACACGACCAAAGAGACGACGTTCTGATGAACAGATTGCAAAAATGCAAAGAAGAGGGAAAAGGAGAAGGAACGCATGCCCGAATTTACATTGGAAAAGCCTTTGAAAGATGGCGAGAACTCCACCGGCAGAAGGGCTTCCAAGGACATTCAGATAACGTTAGCTCTGTTTTTTCTGCACAGGTGGGTAAATCCAGTTAGTTTTTTCTAAATGGACTTTCATGTTCGCCTAACAAACGCAAGGATATAATTAGCTAG